AGTAATCCCAAATGAGGGGAGGGAGAGAGGGAGAGAGGGAGAGAGAGAGAGAGAGAGAAAGAGCGAGAGAGGCAGCCATAGCTGTCCTTGGGGGTAGGGTGCTGCGGTACTTTTATTTATTATTATTATTTATTTCAAAGTTATTGGATAGTTATGATAAGGTGCAAATGGTTATTTTTGGTTTAATACAATTATGATGATATGAACTTATTTAAATCTATTAGATTAATTTAATGGTTAATATTCTCTTAAATGCATGTAAATGCATGAATGTGGACTTACAAATACCGTAAAATGACAATAAATACATCAAGAAAATGTGATGAAGTATTTAAATATTCATCACCATGACTTGTGAAGAAATTATAAGTTAACCCATAAACAAATAACACAAAAATGCAGGGGCCAGGGTTGGAGTTGCTAGACCTTTCTCCCTCCTTCTTCCTTCTTCTCCTTTCTTTTTGGTCTCTCTTTTTTGCAACCCTTTTTGGTTCCAGGATTTTCCCCTATAACCAACCCCTTTAGCTAATAAATCGGGTGACTCTCTCCCTCGTCATGTTGTAGAGAGATTTTCCTCCCCAGTTTTATGCGGGGTTTTGCTTCTCCCTAATTTTTTGTTGGGTTTTGTTTATTCCCAGTCCTTTTTGACTAACTTTTAAAATCCTTTATGTTAAAGAGGTAAAGTTGCTAGATCTAGATGGATCTTTCATACTGGGTGCTGTGAGATCATGGTGGGATGTTGGAGGTGTTGTGGCCTTCTTTGGCCAAGTGGATGTTGAGCTAAGACCCTTTCACTTTTGGTGCTTCTGGTTCCTGTTCATTCATAATCAGTTGTTCTCATAATCTTTTTGTAGCACTGGTTCTGTAAAGGGTCTTCTTGATCCTCTATCTGTCAACTCTGAGTGAGTTGAGCTTGAATTTATAGTAGTTATTATTCATTGTCTTACTGAATTTGTTTTTCCTGATTTATTGTATGCAATAACCTCCATCTGGGTGTGTCCTTCTTGTACATATCTTGTAATTACCCATTCACTAATGAAATTCTACTTGTTCTCACCCAAAAAAAAAATGCAGGGACCAGTAAACAGTAACATTGAAGTTAAAGGATGTGAAAGGAAAAAGTATGATGAATAAGAGGAGTTGGAGGTGGTTGGGCAAACACTAAAACACATTGACTTTGAAGTCATAATGGGAAAGCTTAAGCTTGGAAATGAGTGAGATAAATCGCACGCCACGTGAACTATCATCAAGCCACTTGTCGAAAATCAAGCATTGAATTGTATTGAAGGATAGGTTTACCTTAATTCCTACTTCAATTTAATGTCTCATGGATCAACATCATCCTACGACCATATTTTTGTCCAATCTAATTTTTTTCGATTAATTTACGTGGACGGTACCTTGAACACATGAATTTTTTAGTATTGTATCAAACCACCATCACAATTTAATTATAATTATAAGTAACCCAATTTTTTGAGTATTGGAAACCAATAATAACATTTAGAATTGAATAACAAAACCAAAAAAAGATTTTTTTTTTCTTTGGTTTTTATAAATAAACTCATTTTAATACGACATATTATATAAAAATTCATATAGAGTCTAAAAATTCAAAAATCCAAAATTAGTCACTTGTATAATATGTCATGTTAGAATGGGCCTATTTTTGAAGAAAAAAAAATCTTTTTTTATGGGTACAAATAAGCAGATGAATAATTGTCAACTGAGAAGGTGGTAGGTAAATTATGTAAAGATTCGTTTTTTACATAGAGCTTTGAAATAAAACACCATGAAAAAGGGGGCCGCAATAGGTGCTTCAATTTTCTACTTGTAGAATTTTGGTGGGCTTCTGGGCAATAACATTTGGAATTATATATAAACTATCTTTGACAATTGAAACCATTCTAAGACTCAGGAACCCAAGAAATAGAAAAGAAAGAAAAAACTTAAAACTCAAGGTATGGGATGACCCAAGGTTCCTACGGTTTAAGACCATTCACCATCTTTTCAAAGGAAGTTTCAGTTTCATCTTCCCCAAATTTGACACCTCAACCAAAACGTATGGAATTATACCAAAGAACGGAAACAAAAAAGAAATCGAAAAAGTTGTCATTTTGCTTTTTGGCTGACTGACTCATCCTTTTACCACCAATCACTCTCCTACTCTTGAAGTTTTTATGCAACTTTTCATTTGGTCAAGTCAACCTACACAGACTGCATTATCAAATTCCATTTACTTTGCTGTGGGGCAATTGGAACTTAGTTTAATGGCACAAAAAGAACGAACAAGAAGATTCCAAGAACAGCTCAAAGTCCTCTTTGTACTAATAAATTAATGCCATCAGTGTTTGATGGATGGACCATAAAAATAAATGACCAAGATCAAGACCAGACTAAGTCGTCTAGAGATCAGGTCCTCTCTCTCTCTCTCTCTCTCTCTCTCTCTCTCTCTGTGCAATCCAAGGGCCCAACTGCAGAATTAGCCCAAATGGTTTAAAACCATGACTTAAGGGTTCGATTCCCTCCAATGTAACTAAAAAGATAAATCTGACATCCAAATGCGTATAATATGAGCCCAAATGGTTTAAAACCATGACTTAAGGGTTCGATTCCCTCCAATGTAACTAAAAAGATAAATCTGACATCCAAATGCGTATAATATGAGCTTAATATCTTTAGACATTATAATGACTGAAACATGTAGTATCATATATTGTATAACTGTCTATTCAAAGAACAGGATCTCTTGATCCCTGTGAAATTTTCAATTACAACAATGATGTAGAGATGCCTATGCTAGATGATGAAAGGCTAAACATTATGGGGGAAACTGAGGCATTTCACTTGGAGAATGTGAGATTTATCCACAGCAAGGAGCAAAAATCTGGCCTGCCCATGAGCTGAGGAACAGAGGTATTGCAAGATTCCCCCAACCATGAAGTATAAGTGGGACTGATTAGAGAGGATTTACATTAATACACGATGAAAAGATTTGATCTAAATTCTTATACCCTGTGGAACTGCATGACCAGAAAAAAACAGATGGCCGCATAACAGCTATAGCCTATAACAATACGAAAAGGAGGATGACAAACCGAAACCAAGTCAGAGGAAAATGGCTATGGTAAGGCAGAGATGCAGCTGAAGTCTGACTATTCCGGGTCTTTTTCGTTGATTCTGGAGTAGAATGGTTACCTAGTCCAGCAGCAACAGCAGGAGGCACATTGGTAGATTTAGGTTTAAAAGGCAAGCTAGTATGGTTCTCAACGTCATAACCTGCATTAGGATCCAAAAATTTGGTCATGCAATTAGTTCATACATCAAGGCATGGAGAATAGCTGTGTGCACAATAAATGAGAGTAACACCTACAGTCAAACTTCTTCCAGCCCAAAACGAATTTCTCTCGGTCAAATACAACATTGTAGCCAGTCATAAAGTTTTCTGTAGAGAGACCAATAACTGAAGCATAAGCCAACATGTAATACCAAAACAAATGCAACTAGGATATTTAGATTAAAGTGGGCTATTGATCTGAGAGGAAGAAGCTGATTTGTTACGAAAGCCTCCTTGGTATATCATTATGGAGTACCAGGCAACAAAATAACCCAACACACTGAGTAATGGTCAGCTAAGTTAGTCCAAAAGTTAGAGCAGTCACAGCCACTTTACTGTGAATTAAAATCAACTGCAATGCAAAAGACTTACGTCCAATTATATTTAGTTGCGTACTCTTGACAACAGCCAGGCAATATACCAGCTCGCTCTGCAAATCAACAGCAAGCAAGATATTTATGACCCTTCTTGGTAAAACAACAAATAAAACTGGGGTAAAAAAACAAAGCATTACCTGGGTGGAGATGACAATGATCGGATCATAGACTGCAAACTGGCTTCCACCTTTCATGGTTAAACTTAGACTGGGTATAAAACTAGCATTTGCATCAGAACTGCACATTGAAAGAATTTTTTTAGGAATAGAAGAAATTTTAAAGTTGGAGGTAGAAATAGAGACAAATAAGTACACAAACCTCATATCATAACAATATTCAAATGGGATCCTTGGGTCAGGTGGACGACGCTTATCTCGAGCCAGTGAATTGAACTGCAAAATTCATAAAGCATCAACTATTGAGTTGTATGTCCAAGTGTGTGTACATGGTGTTCTCTTGTCCGACATACTGACGTGTGTTGTCAATTGACAGTCTGATAACATAAAGAAGTAAAATTATTTACAACACTTGAAGTGCTTACACTCTCTGAAAGCCTTGTATAAGTTGGGTCACCCAAGTATGTGAAAGACGTCCCAGAATCAAAAAGAGCTGTGAAGTCAATGTCCATAAGATCTGTCCCCACTCGAATTTGAGTTACGGTGATGTTATAGGTTGGACTGTAACATGCGTCCCATTATATGACATAAAAACAACGTTAAAACCTCCTTTCATGAAAAATTAATTATGAAAAATCAGCATCAAGTATCTGAGAAGTTACCACTTACTGTGACGGGTTGACATTAAATGGGGTCTCTTCCTGGTCAGGACTCCCCTTGTCACCAAAATTAATTCTCCCAACCCCATCATGTCCGAAACACATGGAAAAAGAATCGGCTGTAAAGCCTTCCCGGGATAAAATGCTAGGAACAGAAATCTTCTCCATACCAAGCCCAAACAAACCATTAGGAGCTGCAGCATCCAGGAAAGAACCGCTTTGCACCTGTCCACAACTGAACAATTTACAATGCATTTTCAGCTACCTACATGAGACTAAAACAAAAGGAACAAAAAGAAGTCCAAAAATTATGATGACAGAGCTCACCCAAAGGTAACGTATGCCTCAACAAGTTCCCGATGACTATCTTCTGTTTTTAAGTGCAGAACATCCTCTACCAATATCCCAGAAGTAGAAGTTTCAGCTGAGACATAAGAGACCATGTAAGGGCAATTGTTGAATGAACCCATACATCTATTACGGTGTGCACACAAACTGTCGTTGCAACTGACTCTTTTGCTTGTCGACGACCCTTCAGGGTCATATTTGCTAACCTCAAAATCCTGCCACGGTAAATCATATGTATTTACTAACTGCAAAAGCAGAAAGAGTAATAGATGAATGCATCAGGAAATTGATATCACCATTCTTGTCCTTTACTCCCAATATCATAACAAGATCTCAGAGTGCCATTCTAAACTGTCTACCCCTTTTTGCATACGAAAATGATACACTAGTAGCTACATTTTCCGACTGTCCATCTGATATGACATAATCTGCATAACTTAGAATTTGATTTCTCTCTGCCAACTCTAAAAAGATAGATAAACAAAGGTATACATAGTTTTAATTTGCTAATTATTTGATTAGTCTTGAAATCAGATGCCGGTGTGTGACCAACCCAAATACAAGTTACATTTTCTTGACAAAACTGAAACAAATAGGCATATTAAAAGCAAATCAAACAGACACCAAATTCAAATGACACTCTCATCAACAGTTCCACCATCTAATTGGAACGTGCACATGGATTGGAATAGAAAGAACTTATCTTTTGTTAACATAATTAAAGAAAGAAAAGAAAAGGTCCAAAAACTGATAGTAACTGATAATAATGAGCGCAAAACTTACAGGAGCATAAGCTGTGCCTTCACAAGGCACCCAAAACAGATCACTCCCTGTATCAAGCGCGACCATAAACTTCATTCCCGGCGTACCCAATTGCACCGTGGTGTAATGCAGGCTACAAAAACCTCCCCAAATATAAAATGTAAATTAATTAAATTAAATTCGCAATTAAACTCCAAGAATTTAGTTTAAAAAATTGAAGCTTTAGAGAAAGGCATTGATAGTAACACAAAGAAACGTACAATCCCAAGGAGCTGATCCGAAAAGTCGAGTTGCCATCAGAGAAAGCTAGCGGAGTAGTAGTGTCGCTCTGGTCGCTCTGGGCGAGCTTGCGGCCGCGAAGAAAGCGATCGCGGCGGGCCAATTCCGCATAGTACTCGAAGCTTCCCTTCGCCGGAAGGTTGTCGGCCGGCGAGAGTTTCCCGGAGACTGCCGACCACTCCTTGACGGGGTCGGAGAAGCGGTGGTGCATCTTGAAGCTGAAGATGCGGCCATGGCAGCTCTGAAGGCCCAAGATTGACAGAAAGAAAAGGAGGACGACGAAGTTACAGAGATCAGTAAGCATCTCTCTTTGAAATTTTCTCTAACCCTAGAAAGATTTGCATTGGGGAAAGAAGAAGAGAGCGAATGGATCGAGAAACAGTGGAAGAAGAAGATCTTGGAAGGCGAAGAAGAAAGTGCGTTTGGTGAAATGGAGTGAGTGAGTGAGAGAGTTTGCTTTGCTCTGCTGCACTGTTGGTTTTTTTGGAGTTTGTGGCGGTGGGTCCCGCAACATGATCTTCCCTTCGCCGGAAGGTTGTCGGCCGGCGAGAGTTTCCCGGAGACTGCCGACCACTCCTTGACGGGGTCGGAGAAGCGGTGGTGCATCTTGAAGCTGAAGATGCGGCCATGGCAGCTCTGAAGGCCCAAGATTGACAGAAAGAAAAGGAGGACGACGAAGTTACAGAGATCAGTAAGCATCTCTCTTTGAAATTTTCTCTAACCCTAGAAAGATTTGCATTGGGGAAAGAAGAAGAGAGCGAATGGATCGAGAAACAGTGGAAGAAGAAGATCTTGGAAGGCGAAGAAGAAAGTGCGTTTGGTGAAATGGAGTGAGTGAGTGAGAGAGTTTGCTTTGCTCTGCTGCACTGTTGGTTTTTTTTTTGGCGTTTGTGGCGGTGGGTCCCGCAACATGATTTTAATTTGACAGTTGAAGAAGTTATTCAACTCGGAAGTGTGACTCACTGGATATCCTGACTTTGAAGGAAAAACGGACAAATTGCGATTCGACGCGTGTCAAATGTGTTTTTTACCTAGGGAGATTTTCAACGGTCCCCTTTTTTTGGAGGGAAAATATCTACAACCTTATCCGACGGTTCGGATCAAAACGTGTTTTATTAATCATGAATAAAAATACTCAAAGCTCTTGCATATTTGGGAAACAAAGTGTTAAAAATATATATACATTTAGTACCATACATTAAAGTTTTGATTGATATTTTAACTCTTGGTTCTACTAATAATATTCCTTGGTATATTTTGTCAAAAGTTCAACTTGAGCAATTTCAATTTCAACAGGTTTATGGATAAGTAAATATGGTCGCAAACTCGTTAGTAGATTTAGGATATACTTTCATTTAATCATGTGTTAAGATTTGTTTCGATATTTAGAATATTGGGATTCGGTGGGAATTTCGTGTAATTTTGCTCTTTCATAAAAAGGAAAATATTGACTGATTTCTGATTACTTTGATTGATTTGTTAGGATTCTGATATAAAAAAATATATATATTCATTTGAAGTGGCCACACATAAAGATTGAAAACAGAGGCCTTGTTATTATTATCACAATCATATATACAAGACAAATTTGAGGTACTCATCTCATCATATATACAATTTGATACTCACAATTGAACTCAAAAGGTTACAAAACTTTTACAAATGAACACTACAAAAACAGAACCCTGAAAATTCCCGGAAACAAAAACTCTCATTCTTCCAACAAATCGGGAGACGACACCATTTCTGAGGCTGATCACACTGGAGAGGCAGAGGTACTAAAACCAAATTTATCTGAGAGCTTTGTTCTTGTGAATGGAGAAAGAAGTTCCATCTGATGAAGAAACTATTAGCCATAACTCTATGGTTGATCAAAATGATCATCACACCCAGCAAAAACCAGAAAATGGTCAACACACCCATGCTATGACAGCTGCTATGCTCCAACGGTCACAAAGGCATATTCAACACAAGGACAAGCATATTCCTTATTCTTATCCGATGAGTCATCATCAGGGGTCCTTGTCCTAGGGTTTCCTGTATAGTCTCTTGTGTATATATATACACCTTTTACCTCCATTGTTAAATAGAAAAGAAAACGGTAGTCTTTATTGACTGATACATTGACTGTAACCCATCATCAATAGTAATAGAAATATACTCTTTTCCTTCTCAGTATGAATTCTATCATGGTATCATGAGCCATTAACACCACACGGTAAAATTTCTTTGCTGTCCTCTCTGGTCTCCTGCCATGGCAACCCCACCTTTCACTAACCCTTTCTCTGATTCTCTTCTTCCCACCTCTGACCCTGCCCTACACACCTACACCCCTCCCATCTCTAACCACCATGTTTCTAGCCTTCTTCCTATTAAACTAACCCGTGATAACTATCTTTTGTGGAAAGAACTCTTCCTTCCTATTCTTCAAACCTCTGATTTCCTTGGTCTCATCAATGGTACTGACTCCTGCCCAACCCAATACATCCCTAATCCCGAAAACCCTCTTAACACCATTGTTAATCCCGATTTTCTTTACTGGTTTAAAAAGGATCAGACTTGTAAGATCTGGATCCACTCTTCACTCTCTGAAAGCATCCTTCCCTATATAGTTGGCTCCTCCACCTCTAGAGATCTCTGGCTCACTCTTGAAAAAAGGTTTGCTGCCATCACAAGATCCCACCTTTTGCAGCTCAAAGCTCGTCTTCAGAATCTCAAAAAGGGGTCTCTACCCATGCTGGACTATCTTCAACTTATCAAACACACTGCTGACTCTCTTTCTGCTGCTGGTGCTCCTCTTGATCCTACAGATTTCATTGCTCATGTTCTCAATGGCCTCCCTGCTGAGTATGATGCCTTTGCTACCTCCATCAGAGTTCGTTCTGACCCTGTCGACCCTGAAGAACTCCATGGCCTCCTACTTAGTGAGGAAATGGCTCTTGCCCAGCGTGCCTCTCTCAACAGCGACTCCTCATCTCATGCATTTCACACCTCCTCCCAAACCAACAATAAAGCTTTCCCCTTTTCCAATAACTCTCGCCCCTCTTCCTCCACCAACAGAACCTCAAACAAACCTTTCCAATCCTCCAACAACTCCTCATCCTCGTCTTCTTTTCGCCCTCCATACCGCCCCTCCAATTATGTCAACTCTCGCATCAAATGCCAAATTTGCAACAAACCCGGTCATACCGCTATTACTTGCCGCAACCGTCACAACCACTCATATCAAGGCCATGCCCCTTCCCCTCGTCTCACTTCTTATTCTCCCACACATCATAATCCCATTGCCTCTTACACCTCATATCCCTCAAGTCATCCCCACCATACATCCACATGGTATGCTGATACAGGAGCTACAAATCACATCACTCATGACTTATCTACCATCTCAATGCCATCTGATTATGCTGGTTCTGAAAAGGTAACGGTGGCTAATGGACAGACTCTTGACATACACCATTCTGGTAACTCCATTCTCTATTCTCCTTCCTCTAAGTTTTCTCTCAAAGACATTCTGCACACACCGCATGCCACTCATAATCTCCTCTCCGTTCACAAGTTTGTTAATGACAATAACTGCCATCTCATATTCACTCCCTCTGCATGTTTTGTGAAGGACAATCTCACAGGCAAAATCCTTTTTCAGGGCCATACTGAAGGTGGCTTATATCCTATTCACCTCTCTTCTCAAAAGAAATCACCTTCCTGTCTTATGATCACTGCTTCTCCATCTCTCTGGCATCAAAGGACTGGTCATCCGTCTGCTCAAATACTACAACAAATCATCTCCAAAAACAATCTTCCAGTTTTAGGCAAATTTAAGTATCTATCTTTTTGTAATTCTTGTCCGTTGGGAAAGCAAACTAAGCTTCCTTTTCTTTCTCCCTCATGTATTTCACGTTCTCCTCTGGAATTAATTCATACAGACCTTTGGGGACCATCTCCTACTCCATCTTTTTGTGGTTTTCGTTATTACATCATTTTTATTGATGACTATTCTAAATATTGCTGGCTTTATCCTTTACTCACCAAATCTGCTGCTCTCACTGCTTTTAAACAATTCAAAATACACATTGAAAAATTACTTGACCACAAAATTCGCACTCTAAGGAGTGACAATGGTGGTGAATTCACCAACCTTGCCTTTCAACAATTTCTCACTGCTAATGGTATAACCCAACAATTTTGCTGTCCTCACACTCCTGAGCAAAATGTCTTAGCCGAGAGAAAACATCGCCACATCATTGAGCTCACAAGAACTTTGTTTGCTCAATCTAATCTTCCATTAAACTATTGGGTTGAGATTGCTCAAACCTCGGTCTATCTAATTAATAGAATGCCGAATAGAGCTCTTCACTTTATTTCTCCCCTACAACAATTATTTCATTGTACCCCAGATTACACATTTTTAAAAGCTTATGGGTGCACATGTTATCCCTGGTTGAGACCTTACTCAAAGCACAAATTGGCTTTTCGCAGTCATCCTTGTGTCTTCATTGGGTATGGCATTCAACACAAGGGATACAGATGTCTTGATATTAAGACTGGACGAATTTACACTTCTCGCCATGTGACTTTTGATGAACACTCATTTCCATTTCATCAACCCCTACCCACAGCTGCCCCACCTTTGACTCCCTCATATCCTCTTTATACCCCTATTTTACCTTTACCCCCACCTCCTTTACAAACAGACCCCACGCCTCCTACCTCCTCTCTACCTAATTCCCCAATATCATCACCAGCTTTATCCCCAACTACCAATCCCCTACCTTCACCCCTGTTCCCTTCCTCTTCCACAAATATCACTCCCCCCATTGATCATTCTTTATCCATCCCACTCACCATTTCCGCCCCAACCCCAGTCCCTTCTCCTCCTCCTTCATCACCTTCTCTCACTCATAATCAATATAATAATAATAATTGGTCGGCTTGGTCTTTGCCTTTCTTGTGTGAATTGAATTACGATTGCAATGGTCCTAAAAAGGATATGCTATAGTTTCACGAATTTTATCCCCATTTTCATGTTTAAAAATATGAATAAAATAAAAAGAGAAAGCAAGTGGTCGGTTTGGTCGTGTTCTTGTGTTGACTGTGAACAATGCAAGAGAGGGTCTTACCTCTATTGTCGGTGGGCATAACTATCAAAGTAAAACCACTCAACTACATCCTAGTCCAAATACCAAAATACAAAAGCATAAATCACAGTCAACAATGAGCTTTGACACACAAGTACTTCTTTCATTAGGGTTTTGCAAAATTTAAGACTTCAAATTTCGGTATAATTAATTTTTCGATTCAACTAAAAGATGATTCGACAACAAAAAATAAATTGCATGTCACGTGCGATAGGATGTTGCTAAGGGCAGAACCACACTTGGTCCGAAGCGATCATGGCACCTCATAACTTCAGAATTTCATGTAAAATTTATATGAAATGTACATGATGTTTATGAAATTATTGATGCATGGGGGCGTTGACATTACCATGTTATGCCCGAAGCATATGCATAATAATAATACGTCAACCCCTATGTCAAACAGGTGTACTTAAAATGGATCATTGCATACAGATGCACTATGTTGAAAATCGTATTTTGCAACTGGTTTATTTTGGGATATTCATCGACGCATATGCTCAAACGACAGCCTAACTTTGTCGTTTGCCAATCAAAGAACAATAATAAGAGAAGAAGAAAGAAAAAAGAAAAAAAAAACTATTGCTCGGGAATTGGCGCCACAAAATGCGACAATGGTATTTAAATGACGGGGAATAGATCTTGTTCATTTTTTGGGGGCACAATTTTTTAAAAAAAATCTGGATTTTTTATAAAAATATTATTTTATTTTAAATTATCCCAAAACTACATAAAATGATTGCCACTTTCTCGTGATTGTGTGTAGACACGTGTCCTCAAACCCTTGACGATTGGACACCTATGCAAGGAAGTCACAAGCTCACGAACACAACCCATCTTCAAGAATCAAAATTGGTTATGAAAACCTTAAACATTAACTCAAACAACACGTAACAAAAATCTACAAGCAATGTGTTTCAATAAATAAATAAATAAAATATAAAATAAAAAAAGTAATTAAGAAATAGAGAATTGTATTTTCAATTAAAATTCTTTTGCAACAAAAGTCAACTTTTGCTTTTAAAAAAAGTCAATCCAATAAACAGATGATAATAGATGCCATATTGCTAATTGAATCATAAATGATCATTTGAGATCCTTTATCTAAAAACCAACTTAAATATAACATATCACTCTAGCAATCTTTTTGATAAAAATGACATACAAAAGCACTTTTTGAAAATCAACTACAAAGAAAAGTACTTGTTTCCTCCACAAAAAAAATGTTAATCCTCGTACGGAGTCACCACTTTGGCCAACACTTTACCCCTTACGGCCCGATCCGGTGTGAGTGGGAATTAGTATGGGTTGTGATTAAGGCTTAAAGGTGCTACCCATAATTGGGGCCCATCCAGGACCACCTCATGGTTCAGACAAAAAAAAAAAATGTTAATCCTTTTCTCACTATAGATTGATGAAAATATATATATATATATATATTTTTCTTTTGACCCAATTTAGAGTATGAGCAAATGAAAATTTTGATTTTTATATTTTGATTTTATCATAAATTATTCTCCCTCTTTCTATCTACTTTCTCTTTCTTTGGTTATATGTGGAGCCCATGGCTGCCCATATGCATTGCTGGCTTTCAACCATCGCTTTGTTCGTTTTCCTTTATAGGGGGTTTGTCTGTTGAGAAATACCACGAGAGAGAGAGAGAGAGAGAGAGAGAGAAGAGAAAAAGAGTTTCAGTTCGTTCAATCACACTGATTGAGAGCTCTCTTTTGTTAAATCATCTATATCTTCTTCTACCTTCTGCGTCACCCACAAGAAAAACCCAAATTCAGAAGAAAAAAAAAAACAACAACCAGTCGAGCAATTTAATCCCAGGATAAACAAAAGTGACCCCTATCCAAAAACCCTTTTGCCCACAGTTTTTGGTTTGATGGATCTACAGATCTAACGCGTTAATACCCACATGTATTGTTCTGTTTCATTTAGATCTCCATCGTTTTCATCAGCCACGATTCAGTAGCTGACCTCAACTCATCAAACAGCCTAATTTTACACTGTGAGTTTCTTTCCCTCGATTTTTTTCTCTTCTGGGTTGTTTAATTTGTTAGTGGATGTTATAAAGTTGCTGAATTTTTTGTGAGTGTGTGTGAATAATTGTACGGTTGAAGTGTGAGATATGGAGAGGTAGATATGACTGCCACTGTTTCCCAAAACTCTCTGTTGCTTATGTTGCTTTCTTCATTTCAAGGTAGTATTAAGATGTGGGTCATGGTCTCTCTGAGCCTATTAGAATGTGGATGGGTTGATGTTTTGGACCTGATTTTATCATCTTGGTTGAATGAGACTTTTAACTGAATTTACATAGTAAGCTGATTCTGTGGTCGAGTATATGATCAAATTTCGTTAGCTAGGGATTTTATTGTCCTATATTAATTGGCTGTTTTCCCTTTTATAGTAGATTTTTTGTTCTTCAGGAGAGGAGGCTGGTGGTGGGGTCTTTGGTTGGGAGTGATATTGCATCCATTTTGGATGTGGAAGCATTGGAGGCTGGCCCAGGTGAAATGAGGGATGTTATCAAGGTTGATGAACTTTCTGAGGGCCTGCTGGCTGCCATCCTCGGACCGATATGTACAGCCAGGTTCGGATGCAGCTGGCAGACAAGATGGGTTACTTTGGTACAAAGACACCGGGCAACACTTGAATGGTGAATTTTCAATGGCTGTTGTACAGGCCAACAGTTTGCTTGAGGATCAGAGTCAGGTTGAGTCTGGTCCCTTGAGCACGCTGGAGTCTGGCCCATATGGCACCTTTGTTGGAATATATGATGGTCATGGCGGTCCTGAGACCTCCCGCTACATCAATGATCACCTATTCCAGAATCTAAAAAGTAAGCTACATTATCTCAGTCCCAGATGAGATTTTTAGCATAAATTTTTTTGTTGCAGGAATAAATTGGATTCGCTCAAACTCGTTCATGTTAGGATTCATTTTCCCAGAATTAAATGAATCTCCTTATTACAATTCAGGGGATGTGTATTATCGATATTTCAATGATGAGTCTTGAGATTGGAATGAAGTCATTGCTGATGACTTTGTTTTTTTTAGGGTTCACGTCAGAGCAACAGTCCATGTCAGTAGATGTGATACGGAAAGCATATCAAGCAACAGAAGAGGGATTCCTCTCTGTTGTTACCAAACAGTGGCCTATGAAACCCCAAATTGCAGCCGTTGGGTCTTGTTGCCTTGTTGGTGTGATCTGTGGTGGCACCCTTTACATTGCCAATGTTGGTGACTCCCGAGCTGTGCTGGGGAGAGTTATGAAGGCTACTGGGGAGGTTCTTGCCATCCAGCTGTCATCAGAGCACAATGTGGCCATAGAATCTGTCAGACAGGAGATGCATTTGCAGCACCCAGATGACTCACATATTGTAGTTTTAAAGCATAATGTATGGCGCGTAAAGGGTTTGATACAGGTACTTCAGTACGCGTAAAGGGTTTCCATCTCACTGAAAGCATGTTCTTTATAGGTTCATCATAAATTATACATGACAGATTTTGTATTCATGATATTGACTCGTTTAATGGTTCAACAAGAAGATTGAAATGACTAAGCAGTTTGGGATTCTTGGGAAGATAACTGTGGTCCTTAATAGTACAAAGTGGTATTAATATCTAACATGTCAGGAGGCTAAGATGTTGGCTTCATGTCGGGTACTTAGACCTCTGAGTTAGTAGATAGACTTGTAGGCTAATTTTTGCTTTTACTTGAAGAATAAAGATGTCATATGGATAATTATTGACATTATCCGTGAGTACTTGGCCTGAGAGTGGTTTAAGCAGTGATAAATTTTTATTTTTATCAGGGTGGACTTAGAGCTGCTATTATTTTAATATTTCAATAGTAGAAATGATTGAGCACATGCGGGTGTTACTAAATTTTTGTGGAAATAATCACAAGTGGCGGATCTTGCATTGTTTTTTTCAACTTGGGAGTGATAGGTTTTTTGCCACCACAGTGATCAGCAGATTGATTACATTAGCCCTTCAGAAAAAAAAGAAGAAGCACAATTTGAACTTTTTGTAGAACTATTTTTAATGGAATGGTGTGGAGATCTCTGATTATTTAGGAGAAGTTCCTTTAAAAGAACTATTTATTTTAGGTTTTTAATGCATCAAATTTATTATTCGGGGTGAAATATTTTTAAACATTTCTTTATTTTTGGTGTTTAATGGATCAAAATTTATGATTCATAATTGAGTGTTTTATTGTTATTGATAATTGTTGTTTTTAAAGAAAAAAGATATTTGTCTTTTGCAGGTTTCTAGATCGATTGGTGACATATATCTGAAAAAGGCTGAATTTAACAGGGAGCCTTTGTTTACCAAGTTTCGCTTGCGTGAACCTTTTAAAAGGCCAATTTTAAGCTCTGAACCATCGATCTCTGTACATGAACTTCAACCACACGATCAATTTGTCATATTTGCTTCTGATGGGCTGTGGGAGCACCTTAGCAACCAGGAAGCGGTTGATATAGTTCAAAATCACCCACGCAGCGTAACATACTTATCTCAATGCTGGATGCAATTTCTGTTTTGCTTTAATATGTTTATTTAAATGGAATAGCTAGTTTTACGGTGGACTATATTTGGGCTTTATCTGGCTAGGATAGGATCAGTGTGCCCTTTACATGCTGTTACTGATAATAAACAAGTTGTTAGATGGGCCAGCAGGCATTGAGGGGGATATATATGTTTGTATTGATAGGTTTATGATTAACAATGCAGGAGCAGCAAATAATGGTGTAGAATTGTACATCAAACACCATATTATGATTGGTAAATAAGAGACGGAATGTGTCTTTACTCTTTTCTTGTTTTTCAGGGAAGTGCTCGGAGGCTTGTGAAAACTGCCTTGCAGGAAGCAGCCAAGAAAAGAGAAATGAGATACTCAGATTTGAAGAAAATAGAGCGTGGTGTCCGCCGGCATTTCCACGACGACATAACAGTCATAGTCGTATTTCTTGACTCAAACCTTGTGAGCAGAGCCAGCTCAGCTAGAAGCCCAGTTTGTCTGTGAGAGGACGCGGTATTAATATACCTGCAAAAACTCTTGCCCCTTCCATGGAAACCTGATGAAGCCGGCTCATGTAATATTGTACCTATTGTTGAGTCCTTCTGAGAGCTCCGGTGAACCATCAGCTTGTAAATCCAAGAGAGACAAGGGAAGGTGCAGTCAATTTTTTTTCACTGTACAATGTAACAATTAACTTGAACATGTAATTTACTTTAGTTTCTGAGATCTTGAGCAGAGGTATAAGGAAAGAATCAAAGATGTAGAGCTTCCAAGGTGACAAACACGAAGATTCTTTCTTGTGGAAATCTTCTCTGCGAATTCGTCTTCTGTTCTATTTTTCTTTGTGTACTTCATGCAGAGCATTTGGTTTTGTAAATAATGTGGAAGGATAGCCCCGGAAATGGAAATCTCTGCTTGATGTTGATTGCATATTGCACTTAGTGGGTATGACGTATGAAAAGTTGGCTTCACTGCCTTCGCCAGAGAACTTTGATGGGGGCAAATAATGGGAAAACCTTCAGGGAAGCAAGGAGACGATCAAAACGAAGTCCATGACAAAATATAACTTTGGCCCCAAGAAAAAATAGCAACAACAATGCCCAAAAACTTAAAAAATTAAAAAGGAAAGTAAATTTTTACTTTCTGCATGGAACGAGGTTTCTGGTTTCGAACCCCAGAAACTTACCCCCTCTTTTTTCGCACCTGTATGAATATACCCCCTCCATGAACAAACAAAGAGACAATACTTCGAAGCTAGGCCTGTAACTTCAGTTGAGTTCTGCAAACCCAACTTTTTCTTTCTTATTTTCCCGCCAAAGCCCATTCTAAGCGAAATTCAGGGGAAACAGAGACATGGGTTGCAAGGTCTCAAAGCAAAGTAAAAAAGACGATGTGGTTTTGCTTTGTAGGAAGAGAAAGGAGCTGCTGAAATTGGCTGTGGATAGAAGGTATGCGTTTGCAGATGCATAGTGCAAATATAACCAGTCGCGGTATGCAGTGGCAGTTGCTATAAGGTCGTTTGTAGCAAGCCACTCCTCTCCACCACCATCTGATTCTGAACCAACCAAAAACACCGGTGCGGGCCCTTTTCTTGATTCTGAAACTTGTATAAGCTCTTCAGAGGCAGACAGAGAAAAACAGCTACAAGGAAGCTCAGATGAAGAGAATAGCGATCATAATGCTGGGACTGATGGGGAAGAATTGGGGTTGGTTTTGCTGAATGATGAGGCTGTGAGAGAAGGGAGGGAATTGTTGGAAGCATTGAAAGAGGTTGAGGTCCAATTCCTTAGGGCCTATAATTCCAGTTTGGATGTTTCCAGGATGCTAGGCACCAACATGGATCAAATGCAATCTGCCTTAGACGAAACTGAAGGTGGGTTTTTCTCGTTTAAAGCCCTTTTTGTTATTTTGATTTGCTTGGTCATTGTGTATAATTCATGTTTATATGATTTTGGGTGCAGAGAACTCAAGTAAACTCAAAAAAAGCCGCTCCATCTCATCTATATTATCTTCGTCTTCCTCCCGAAAAAGCCTCCTTAGATCTAGCACCAGAAGTTCTTCGAAAATCACTCATTTGAATGGTGGTCTCTTTGATGACAATGGAGCAATGGGATCCAAGTGCCATTCGTTAACACTAGGGACGCTATATGCTTGGGAGCAAAAACTCTATGGGGAGGTGAAGGTAAAATATGAATGTAACAATTATTTGCTTTATTCAGTTTTATGGATTTCTCATAACTTGATCATTAATTTATAGGATTGTTTTAGCTTATGTGTTTCCTCCTCCATATGGACAACCTAGATAATTTGAGAATAACTTGAATCATCTTTAAATTTTTATGTGCAGGCTGGAGAGGAACCCAGGAGATTATATGATCGAAAATGCTCCCAATATTCGATTAACCAAGGACATGGCCGAAAGACTGAAAACAAAATTGGAGTTGAAGTAGAGGAATTGCATTCCAGAATTTTGGTTGCCAAAGGAAATGCGGAATCAATATTTAAAGAAATTCGAAAACTTAGAGAAGAGGAGCTGCAACCACAACTTATTGAGTTGTTACAAGGGTAAGATCATAGATGTCTGAAATTTTTTGAATTATTTTGCTATATCCTCTCTTTCCCACTTTCTGCAGGCTGATCAAAAATTGGAAGATCATGTCAGAATATCATGAAACACAACATCAAATCATGTCAGAAGTGAAATGGCTCAAGTGTTCATCTTATGGAAAGTCACACCAGCATGCAACTCAAACGCTTCAAGTAGGACTTCAAAATTGGCGTGCTTGCTTTGGTCAATATGTTTGTTCAGTCAACAAAAAAGTCCTAAGTGAATCATAAGAAAATCATATAATCACAATCTATTAAACTCATAAGTAAAATCTTGTAATTACCAAATCGTGCTGAAATTCATTACATTAAAATCCTGCTATTGCAATCTATTAAAATCGCAATTGAATACAATCTATTAAAATCGCAATTGAATACACCCTCCTTAGAAACCTATTCATTTTTTCACGTTTTCACGTTTTCTTCTCTTTGGGCGCCGCACTCTTCCGTTCTGCAATCTCCGCTTCTCGACTTGGCTTTCTTGCACTCTCTACCCTTCCGCTTTCATCTCATGCTCGATTTCCCCGGTTCAGTTCTTTCTCGGCCAAATAGACATCTCTAGACTAGTTCTGTCCAACTCAACTTCAAATCCATCTAAGCTTTTGAATTTGCTCTGAAGAAACCGCAACAAGATCTGCATATTTACTCTGCATGAGGAGCCCTGCATACAAACACAGCCGGCCATTTTTCCTCATCTCTTCGCTCGTATTGTGAGAATAATTGTATATATTTGAAGTTTTGCTAACCGGAAGAGGTGGTTGTGTTGTGGTGGATCGAGTCGGATCGACGCAGATCGAACAAAATCAAATGGTATTGGTCGGTGCGTGATGGCGGAGGACAATTGCAACTCAGCAGAGAAGATTCTAAAGGAGTTTCATGAGATTGAATCCAATCCCTCCGACGATTTCAAGTGCGCCCTGCGCGATTGGAACATATATGAATGGCAATTTGCACTCAGAGGCCCTAGTGGAACTGAATTCGAGGGTGGGATTTATCATGGGCGGATCGAGTTTCCGGAGGAATACCCGTCGAAGCCTCCTTCAGTCATGTTTCTGACGGAAAATGGACGCTTCAAAACCCAAAGCGACATCAGCCGATTTTTGAATTGGCGGTCATCATCGACGGTGCGATATGCTTTACTTAAACTTATTGAGTTAATGCCCTCCTACCCAGATGAGGAATTGTGTTCATTAGAATGCATTAAGGAAGGAAGGCGTGTCCTGGCCCTCAATTCGCGTGCAGCAGTCACAACAGGATCTTCTGAATGTCAGAAGGTAATTCATCAGATTCATCAATATATGCTAAGCAAGGCACCCAACGGCACAGGCGGCGACTCTAAGCCCTCACAGGCCTCCAATGGCACATGCAGCGTCTCTGTCGTGTACAACATTAGTGGGAATACAGTTCATTCTACCGGAGGAGACCGGGTTGGAATTTTTGGTTTTATGAATGAGGCCTGCATCATGGGCGGAGGCACATTGGGACCAGTTTTGGCCCGGACTCCCATTCTAGAGGAGTCTAGAGAGATTGAATCCAAGCCCTCCGACAATTTCAAGTGTGGCATGCTCGAGCGGAACCCATATGAATGGCAAGTGTGGAATATGACGATAAGGCGACTGAACGATTGGCAGGCATCATGGAGGGTGCGAGACACCGGATCGGATGCAGCTGGCAGACAAGATGGGTTACTTTGGTACAAAGACACCGGGCAACACTTGAATGGTGAATTTTCAATGGCTGTTGTACAGGCCAACAATTTGCTTGAGGATCAGAGTCAGGTTGAGTCTGGTCCATATGGCACCTTTGTTGGAATATATGATGGTCATGGCGGTCCTGAGACCTCCCGATACATCAATGATCACCTACTCCAGAATCTAAAAAGTAAGCTACATTATCTCAGTTCCAGATGCGCTTTTTAGCATAAAAGTTTTTGTTGCAGGAATAAATTGGATTCGCTCAAACTCGTTCATGTTAGGATTCATTTTACCAGAATTAAATGAATCTCCTTATTACAATTCAGGGGATGTGTATTATCGATATTTCAATGATGAGTCTTGAGATTGGAATGAAGTCATTGCTGATGACTTTGTTTTTTTTAGGGTTCACATCAGAGCAACAGTCCATGTCAGTGGATGTGATACGGAAAGCATATCAAGCGACAGAAGAGGGATTCCTCTCTGTTGTTACCGAACAGTGGCCTATGAAACCCCAAATTGCAGCCGTTGGGTCTTGTTGCCTTGTTGGTGTGATCTTTGGTGGCACCCTTTACATTGCCAATGTTGGTGACTCCCGAGCTGTGCTGGGGAGAGTTATGAAGGCTACTGGGGAGGTTCTTGCCATCCAGCTGTCATCAGAGCACAATGTGGCCATAGAATCTGTCAGACAGGAGATGCATTTGCAGCACCCAGATGACTCACATATTGTAGTTTTAAAGCATAATGTATGGCGCGTAAAGGGTTTGATACAGGTACTTCAGTACGCGTAAAGGGTTTCCATCTCACTGAAAGCATGTTCTTTATAGGTTCATCATAAATTATACATGACAGATTTTGTATTCATGATATTGACTCGTTTAATGGTTCAACAAGAAGAATGAAATGACTAAGCAGTTTGGGATTCTTGGGAAGATAACTGTGGTCCTTAATAGTACAAAGTGGTATTAATATCTAACATGTCAGGAGGCTAAGATGTTGGCTTCATGTCGGGTACTTAGACCTTTGAGCTAGTAGATAGACTTGTAGGCTAATTTTTGCTTTTACTTGAAGAATAAAGATGTCATATGGGTAATTATTGACATTATCTGTGAGTACTTGGCCTGAGAGTGGTTTAAGCAGTGATAAATTTGTATTTTTATCAGGGTTGATTTAGAGCTGCTATTATTTTAATATTTCAATAGTAGAAATGATTGAGCACATGTGGGTGTTAATCTTGCATTGTTTTTTTCAACTTGGGAGTGATAGGTTTATTGCCACCACAGTGATCAGCAGTTTGATTACATTAGCCCTTCAGAAAAAAAAGAAGAAGCACAATTTGAACTTTTTGTAGAACTATTTTTAATGGAATGGTGTGGAGATCTCTGATTATTTAGGAGAAGTCCCTTTAAAAGGAACTATTTATTTTAGATTTTTAATGCGTCAAATTTATTATTCGAGGTGAAATATTTTTAAAATTTCTTTATTTTTGGTGTTTAATGGATCAAAATTTATGATTCATAATTGAATGTTTTATTGTTATTGATAATTGTTGTTTTTAAAGAAAAAAGATATTTGTCTTTTGCAGCTTTCTAGATCGATTGGTGACATATATCTGAAAAAGGCTGAATTCAACAGGGAGCCTTTGTATGCCAAGTTTCGCTTGCGTGAACCTTTTAAAAGGCCAATTTTAAGCTCTGAACCATCGATCTCTGTACGTGAACTTCAACCACATGATCAATTTGTCATATTTGCTTCTGATGGGCTGTGGGAGTACCTTAGCAACCAGGAAGCGGTTGATATAGTTCAAAATCACCCACGCAGCGTAACATACTTATCTCAACGCTGGATGCAATTTCTGTTTTGCTTTAATATGTTTATTTAAATGGAATAGCTAGTTTTACGGTGGACTATATTTGGGCTTTATCTGGCTAGGATAGGATCAGTGTGCCCCTTACATGCTGTTTCTGATAATAAACAAGTTGTTAGATGGGCAAGCAGGCTTTGAGGGGGATTTGTATGCTTGTATTGATAGGTTTATGATTAACAATGCAGGAGCAGCAAATAATAGTGTAGAATTGTACATCAAACACCATATTATGATTAGTAAATAAGAGACGGAATGTGACTTTACTCTTTTCTTGTTTTTCAGGGAAGTGCTCGGAGGCTTGTGAAAACTGCCGTGCAGGAAGCAGCCAAGAAAAGAGATATGAAATACTCAGATTTGAAGAAAATAGACCGTGGTGTACGCCGGCATTTCCACGACGACATAACAGTCATAGTCGTATTTCTTGACTCAAACCTTGTGAGCAGAGCCAGCTCAGCTAGAAGCCCAGTTTGTCTGTGAGAGGACGCGGTATTAATATACCTGCAAAAACTCTTGCCCCTTCCATGGAAACCTGATGAAGCCGGCTCATGTAATATTGTACCTATTGTTGAGTCCTTCTGAGAGCTCCGGTGAACCATCAGCTTGTAAATCCAAGAGAGACAAGGGAAGGTGCAGTCGATTTTTTTTCACTGTACAATGTAACAATTAACCTGAACATGTAATTTACTTTTCTGAGATCTTGAGCAGAGGTATAAGGAAAGAATCAAAGATGTAGAGCTTCAAAGGTGACAAACACGAAGATTCTTTCTTGTGGAAATCTTCTCTGCGAATTCGTTTTCTGTTCTATTTTTCTTTGTGTACTTCATGCAGAGCATTGGGTTTTGTAAATCATGTGGAAGGACAGCCCAGAAAATGGAAATCTCTGCATGATGTTGATTGCATATTGCACTTAGTGGGCGCTATGACGGCCGAAAAGTTGGGTTCACTGCCTTCGCCAGAGAACTTTGATGGGGGCAAATAATGGGAAAACCTTCAGGGAAGGAAGGAGACGATCAAAACGAAGTCCATGACAAAATATAACTTTGGCCCCAAGAAAAAAGAGTAACAACAATGCCCAAAAACTTAAAAAATAAAAAAGGAAAGTAAATTTTCACTTTCTGCATGGAAAGAGGTTTCTGGTTTCGAACTCTAGAAACTTACCCCTTTTTTTTCAGAATACTGTCATGTTTGCCAGGTAAGCGATGACCAAACACTGCCATAACGGCTAAGAACAAGAGTTGCCCAAAATTAAAGTTACAATCACCCATTGAAACAAGGACTTCTTTCGCACTTGGTATAAATATACCCCCTCCATGAACAAACAAAGAGACACAGTACTTCGAAGCTCTAAGCTTGTAATTTCAGTTGAGTTCGGCGAACCCAATTTTTTCTTTCTTATTTTTCCGCCAAAGCCCGTTCTAAGCGAAATTCGTAGGAAACAGAGACATGGGTTGCAAGGTCTCAAAGCAAAGTGAAAAGCTTTGTAGGAGGAGAAAGGAGCAGCTGAAATTAGCTGTGGATAGAAGGTATGTGTTTGCATATGCACAGTGCGAATATAACCAGTCGCTGTATGCAGTGGCAGATGCTATAAGGTCGTTTGTAGCAAGCCACTCCTCTCCACGACTTGAAATAAATAAACAAATGCGTGAGTTTAAGTTATTTTATGAGCAAGAAGATAGACCGCATGAGCAAAAGCAGATGAAGCCCTTGGAAAAGATGGAGAACGACTTGGATAAATCTAAGAACAATCTAGAGGGAGAGAAGGCGAAACATCATACCGTCATGAAGGAGACACATGATATGTATGTGAATGGATTTCAAAAGGGGTTTTCGTCAGTTTTTAAATCCTTGGCCGATTTTTCCAACAGTTCCATGAAAATTTATGATGAGCTTTTAGAATAGAATGACATTCATGACATGTTTACTAATCCGG